AATCCGAGGAAACACTTCCTGATCTCTTTTAAATTAGAACCTCTAAGTTTCTCCTAGGAGAATATATTATCTTGATATTTCTTTCTTTTTTTTGCCAGTCCTGGGGCTTGACCTCGGGCCTAGACACTGTCCCTGAGCTTCTTTTGCTCAAGGCTAGCACTCTACCATTTGAGCCACAGCACCACTTCCAGCTTTTACTTTTTATGTGGCACTAAGGAATCAAACCCAGGGCCTCATGCATGCTAGGCAAGCACTCTACCACTGAGCCACCTTCCCAGCCCTTATCTTGGTATTTTCATAAAACATGTTTTGTGTTTTGCTTTTCTCTAATAGCCTCACATCCTATATAGATATCTTATTATAGCCAATGTCTTTTCCCACATTTTATATTGATGTAATAGTCCTATAATATTTTATGTAAATTTTTACTTGTTATTTTCTATTCATAGTATGGCAATGGTGCAATATTCCATTGCATACTTGCAACATAAATGTTTATTTATTTAACTATTGATAGATATCGGGATTATTTTATTGTATGGTTATTAACAAGATGGTTACCACCTGTGAAATCTAATTCGTTATGTATGCATTCTTCTAGGATACACTTCTAGGAATAAGATCGCTGAACAATAGATATTCTACTGTTTCCTCTCCAAACTAATATGCTAAAACCTTAGCATGGGTCTCTGGGAAGTAATTAGGTTTGGATGGTTTTTTGAGGGAGAGTCTCCAGGCTGCAATTGCTACATTTATAAAGGAAAAACCAAAGCTCCATTCTCTGGTTCTATCTCGGTATTGTGTTTGTCTGCCTGGATCTCTGTCCCTGTCTCTGTCTCTGTCTGTCTCTGTCTCTGTTTCTGTCTCTCTCTGTCTCTGTCTCTCTGTCTCTGTCTGTCTGTCTGTCCCTCTCTCTCTCCCTTTCTGCCCTCTTCCCCCCATTTCAGCATACAAGGAAAGTCTGCCTTTTACTAACAAGGTACACCATACTTGAGCAAACTCCTGTCTCATGCTTCATAACTTCCATGAATATGAAAAATATCTTGTTTTTTTTTTGTCAGTCATGGGGCCTGAACTCTGGGCTTGGGCACTGTCCCTCAGCTCTTCAGCTGTAGACTAGCAATCTACCCCTTGAGCCCCAGCCCCACTTCCAGCTTTTTCTGCTTATGTGGTGCTGAGGAATCAAACCCAGGGCCTCATGCATGCAAGGCAAGCACTCTACCACTGAGCTACCTTCCCAGCCCCGAATCTTGTTTTTTTTGACCCACGAGATGTCAGGATTTCTGTTAAAACAGCCCTGATTGGGACAACAGTGCGTATTTTCAACAACACTTTTCTCATGAAAAAGTTCCATTTTCCCCCACAAACACTTCTGAATGCGGCACTGTCTTTCCAGATTCTGAGATAGTTTTAAACTTTAATTTTTGCAAGTGCCATTTTTACATTGTAAGTTCTTGTTGTTGTTGTTATCATTGTTGTTGTTGTTGTTATTTTGGTCAGTAGGGAGGCTTGAACTGAAGGCCTGGGCGCTGTCCCTGAGTTCTTTTGCTCACGGCTAGCGCTCTACCACTTTGAGCCCCAGCGCCAATTCAGGTTTTCTGGTGGTTATTGGTGATAAGAGTCTCGTGGGGACTTGCCCAGGCTGTCTTTGAACCCTGATCCTCAGATCTCAGCCTCCTGAGTAGCTAGGATGACAGGCGTGAGCCACCGGCTCCTGGCTTATCATTTTAATTTTCTTTTGTAGTCTGAGGAAATTTTCACAAGTGTGTGGCTCTCGGGCATTTCCTCTCATTTATTTATTTATGTATTTATATTTTTACTTGTCTTGTAAGGTCTTAATAGAAAGGTTCTTTTTTCTTCAATACTTTGCAGAAACCAACTCTTTCTACAGAGGCCAAATCTCATCTCTCTGACTCTAGGACTCCTGTGGTTTTAAAGACTCTTTGTGTCAATTTTGCTAAGCGTTTTTTTTAAGGAATTTATTTTATCCATATTTTTGAAAGTATGGCATCCTGCTAAAATCTTTTCACTGTTCCCAAAATGTCTTAGGTTGTTCCTTTTTACTCCTCCTCATAGTCCTTTGTTCCTTCTCTGTTTCTCTCTTAATTAATCTTCCTAGAATCACAACTATTCTACTTAAGTTGTCAATAGAACCTTGTGATCAGCTTCATTGGTACTTGGTCTGTTATGGACTTTTTCATTTGCTTTTGCTGTTTTTATTATTTGCTCATTTAACCCAGTGGAGCTTGTGGGGGAACTCTGTCACGTTATTCAAGCTGTGCCTGGTCTTCTGGAGTTTTACTAGATTTTCATATTATTCATTTCAGAATATTTCCTAATTCCCACTGTGATCCCTTCATTTCCTCCACTACAGGAGATTTACTAAGTCACAAATCCACTATAGCTTCCAGTTATTTACTAGTTCTTTCTGTTGTTGCATTGAGGTGGGTATTTTGAGATTTATCAGGATGTATGTGATCACCTAATATAATTTATTTTTAACATATTGTATGTATTCCTACAATATTGTTGGGTACAATATTCTTTGTGTGTAAATCAGGTCCATTGTTCTATAACCTCTCAAATTTTTATGTCCTTATAAATTTTTCTTCTTTTTCCCATCAATTCCCATGTGAGGAATGCTAAAGTCTCTCGTAGATCTGTGACCTCATTGACGAGTTGCTCCACATTGAAAATCGTCACACACTTCTTACTAGAAGAACTTTTGTCACTGCAAAGCGATTTTTCTTGTAATCCCTGCCCGTGCTTTGTACACTGAGTTCTGCTTTGCTTAGTGGTATTATAATAATGTCTACTTTACTGCGACAGTTTGTGCATGGATACTACTATTCCATTATCTCACTAGACATCAACTGTAAGTTGTTTTAACGTTGTTCTGTGGATTTCCTTTGAAAACCATCTGCTTGCTTGAGTGCTGGTGCTGGGGCTTGAACTCAGGACCTCACACTGCCAGGCGGCATGGGACCATGTGATCCGAATCTGTGGAATAAAACTCATCGGTGTGACTAAAAATCTGACGTTCAATTAAATCCCCTCTCCTGATCTTTTTGGAGCTGGCTAGCGTTCAGTATTTAATCTTGGAATGTTTATCTCTGTTCTGCTTCTATAACCTCAGCATTCACACAAGCTGTCTGAGCCCATTTGGGTTGGGACAACATGCCATCAGCTTGGTACCTGGCTAACCATGGGCCATTGTTTTTTGGGGTTTTTTGTTTGTTTCGTGTAGTTTTTAGTTCTTGAGCAGTAGAGTCCAGAACCAGTGTGACAACAGATTTGATGTCAAGTTTGTAGAGAATCCCTTCTGCTCTGGTCCTCGTGTGTGTGTGTGTGTGTGTGTGTGCATGTGTGTGTGCATGCATGTTTGTGTGTGTGTGCGTGTGTGTGTGTGTGTGCGTGTGTGCATGTGTGTGTGCGTGTGTGTATGCATGTTTGTGTGTGTGCATGTGTACGTGCGCGTGTGTGCATGTGTGTGTGTGTGCGTGTGTGTGCATGTGTGTGTGCGTGCGTGTGTGCGCACGTGTGCGTGTGTGCACGCGCGCGTGTGTGTGCATGTGTGTGTGCATGTGTGTGTGCATGTGTGCGAGTGTGTGTGCATGTGTGTGCGTGTGTGTATGCATGTTTGTGTGTGCGTGTGTGTGCGCACGTGTGTGTGCGTGTGTGCATGTGTGTGTGCATGTGTGCATGTGTGCGTGTGTGTGCGCATGCGTGTGTGCGTGTGTGTGTGCGTGTGTGCATGTGTGTGCGTGTGTGTGCATGTTTGTGTGTGTGCGCGCGTGTGTGTGCGCGTGTGTGCATATGTGTGTGCATTGTGCGTGTGTGTGTGCATACGTGTGCGTGTGTGCGTGTGTGTGCACACGCGTGTGTGCATGTGTGTGCCTGTGTATGCATATTTGTGTGTGTGTGCGTGTGTGCATGTGTGTGCATGTGTGTGTGCATGTGTGTGTGTGCGCGTGTGTGTGTGTGCGCGCGTGTGTGCATGTGTGTGTGCGTGCGTGTGTGTGTGTGCGTGTGTGTGTGCATGTGTGTGTGCGCGCGTGTGTGCGTGTGTGCGTGCATATGTGCGTGTGTGTGCGTGTGTGTGCGTGCATGTGTGTGCATGTGTGTGTGCATGCGTGTGTGCGCGTGTATGTGTGCACGCGCACGTGTGCATGTGTGTGCGTGTGTGTGCATGTGTGTGTGCACGCGTGTGTGCGTGTGTGCATGTGTGTGCATGTGTGTGTGCGTGTGTGTGTGCATGTGTGCGCATGTGTGTGTGTGCATGTGTGTGTGTGCGCGTGTGTGTGTGCATGTGTGTGTGTGTGCGTGTGTGTTTGTGTGTGTGTGCATATGTGCGTGTGTGTGCATGTGTGTGTGCGTGTGTGCGTGCATGTGTGTATGCATGTTTGTGTGTGTGCATGTGTGTGTGTGTGCATGTGTGTGTGCGTGTGTGTGTGTGCGTGCGTGTGTGTGCATGTGTGTGCATGTGTGTGTGTGCGTGTGTGCATGTGTGTGTGCGTGTGTGTGTGTATGCATGTTTGTGTGTGTGCGTGTGTGTGTGCATGTGTGCGCGCGCGTGTGTGTGTGCATGTGTGTGTGCGCGTGTGTAGGCAGGGCCGGCGTTGGCTTCTTCCCAAAGCGGCCCCTTCACCCATGTTTCGCGTGGCTTCTGTACTCTTCCTGAACTTCAGCTGGACATTTTCTTTCTACCTCCAGCTCTCTTCAAGCGCATTAAACTTCCCGTGGCACGCGCTGACTGGAGTCGTCATGTATCTGGTCACGCGTTTATGGTGTGGCTTTCGGGTGGCACGTGAACGTCGAATCTGGAGTGGCAGGACCTTCTCACACTGTTCCCTGAGGTTCCTTCAGCGCACAGACATATTGATAACGCAACCCGAGTGGAGCTGCAGCTGTACCATCCTGTCGACGGACGTTCATGGAAGCACGCCACACATCCCAGCAGCGATTTCAAGCTTAGTTTGTTTTATTTTCCTTATTCGTAGATTGCCAAGGACCTCCTCCCAAAAAAACCACAGAGGTCCTGTCGGGTTCCTGGCCTGAGCAAACCTACCCGGAGGGCAAGCAGGCCGTCTACAAATGCCGGCCGGGGTACCGGACTCTGGGCACGATCCAGATGGTGTGCAGGAGTGGAGAATGGGTGTCTGTGAACCCAAACCGGGTCTGTCGGAGTAAGTGCTCATTGCTCCTTTCTAAACACCATGAAACCGCTCCTTATGAAAATGCTAAGTATTCAGCAGGACACCGTCCGGGCTGAGTGACACCAGCCGTACAAAACACAGCATGGTCACTGGGATCTCACCGCTGCTATTGGGCGGTTACCCTCGCACACCCCTGCCTTCTCGTGGCCCCAGCTCTCCCCTCCCCTCCCTGCCCTCGGGTGGCTTGACTCATTCTGCACGTTGTGATTCTGACCTCCATGCCCGCCTGCAGCCATCCTTCCTCCCTCGAGTCACATCAGTATTTGTAAAGAGAGCGCTAGTTCTACAAATGCATTTTCCTATTTATTTATAAAGTGTACTTACATATCTATCTTTCTATCTCGGCGCCAGTATGAAGGCTGGACTCCGGGTCTTGTGCTCACTTAGCTCTTTCACTCAAGACCCTTGAGCCACACCTCCACGTTCAGCTTTTTGCTTGTTCTTTGGACCTGAGACTTCCCTGCCCTGGCTGGTTTTGAACCATGATCCTCAGAGGCCAGCCTCCAGAGTAGCTAAGATGACAGGTGTTGAGACGTTGGTGCGGGGCAATCCTATACAGCGTTTGATTATAACACGTAGATCTTTTCAGCAGAAGGACAGTGTTGCCATTTGCAGTGTCCTTGTCCTCCCGCCGTCCTGTGATGTAGTTGGAACGTCCCTGTCCCCAGCTCTGTGTCACACTCTTGCATGTGGTGTGCTTGTTTCTCCATCTTAGAGAGACCCTGTGGACATCCGGGGGACATGCCCTTTGGCTCCTTCCAGCTCACTGTGGGAAGCGAGTTTGAATTCGGTGCCAGGGTGGTTTACACCTGTGACGAAGGGTATGTACGCAGCGTGAGAAGGTTTGGAATTCAAGCTGTAAACAGCTCTACTGATCTGTATTTTAAGGTGATGTGATGTGTTCCCCTAGTTCTACTTAAAAACAACAGCCCAGCACACATGAAACATGAAGAATTCAGCAGTGGCAGGGAGGGTCTCACTTGGATGCCATTTTGCCTCCTTCACATTGAGAAATTAAAATGAGTTTAGTTCCCCTAGTGTAGAAGCAGTTACATCAGTATTCGCCTAGCTCAGCATTCCGACGAAAGGCTTTACCGCACTCCGAGAGGTAAAGAGTACAGGAATTCCGCACGGCTGGTGGAAATTATAATACAAGGACATCGTAGGACACCTACCTCGGAGACCCCTCGTAGAGTGAAGGGCGCATGCACCTTACCTGTGAGTCCAGTGATGGCAGGGGCCAAAATGCTTTCCTCCCACAATTGCTCGCTCCTGCGTCCCGACCAGCCATGGGGGCTTCGAGGCTGATCTCCCGACTGGACTGCCTCAGTATTCTTCTCCAGACCACAAATCATTATCATTCTGGAGGCAAAGTTATGTAGGGTAAAGCCAGGATAAGGTCGTTCTGATTTTACACTACACCAAGGTAGCTAGGATCAAGAGATTGCAAGTGGAGGCTTATAATTCTTCCCCTGACTACATCTTGACTTGAGACATTAAGACGTTAAAATCCAAAACCTGAGAGCTGAGGTTGTAGAGTGAGTCCCCATTCCCAAACTTCAACGCTCAACATCTACCTGTATTTCTTGATGTAGTGCTTCATTTCCATTCCCTGTGTTACAAAAGCAGAAGCTTATGACGTGTACCATTGGGATGGTGGCAGAATCAATACGGTCACACGCAAAGTCTTTAGACAAGATCCTGGGATATGGATAAACACCTTATAAAGACTCATGCTTATGAATCTAGCCTCTCATTGCTCACTATCCAAGGGAGAATTTTTAAACACGCATTAAAAAAAAAAGTCCAACTTTCAAAAGTCCAACTTGCATTACTGCTGACCTCATTACACATATCCAAATAGATTGATTCCTGTTGGGCCTAATTCACTCCATTCTTCATCTCTGAAATCTCTCTCTTCTTGGAAGTGGCATTATGGCTCAAAGTGGTAGAACCCTAGCCTGAACAAAAGGAGCTCAGGAACAGCACCTCGGACCTGAGTTCAAGCCCCATTGACTGACCAGAAAAAAGAATAAGAAGAAAAAGAAAAAAAAAGGAGGGGGGACTTAATTCATCCTGCATAATATTAATCAGAAAAAAAAATCTCTCCTTCCAAGAGAGTCTGCTAACTTTCAGGTTTCACCTCTGTCCTGGCAAAAACAAAATACATATACTTCTGTCTTTAATTCTGCCAGTGTCAGGAATTCATATCTAAAACTTAGCAACAAAATCAGCTGCCTACCTTCCTCTGACCCTAACTCTCCTTTAATGCCCTTCATCGTGTATAAATTAGGGGCGAATGCTGATACACCCCACTATGAACCTGTCTCAACAATCAGCTCCCACCTCAATTGAACTCTACTACAGAAATCACTGACAATTATCAACAAAAACAAAAGTCCTCAGATCGTCCAGGATCAGACCTAGTGAATGGTATTTGGAAGCTTGGCTGAGGGGAGGTTTTTGCCTCTCTGAAGAAAGGTGAATCTTTCATCCAGCTGTGGAATGAGGGGATGCTAACTCTGAGAATCTCTCTCTGTTGGAAAGGGTGTATTTGGCTTCGCAGGGGAGCTCGGGACCTGCCTGGGTAACCTGTGGTTTCATTTCCTCTGCACGAAGCATGGAGAAAATGCTTTACTCAAAACGGAGAAAATGTACTTTTTTTTTTTTTAAGAAAGAAGAACAATCCAAGAACAATCCAAGGAAGATAAAGCATGTTGTGAGGGAGAAAGTTTGTTTCACTTGTGTGATGAGCAGAAGAATCCTTATTTGTAGATGAAGGGGATGAATATCCATGTGGAGATATTTAGTGGCCTTGTAGCCTTTTAAAGAAAGAAGAAAGAAAAGAGAAGGAAAAGGAAAAAGAGGACAAAGAGTAAAAGAGAAATTAAGGAAGGAAGGAAAGAAGGAAGGAAGGAAAGAAGGAAGGAAGGCAGGAGGGAAGGAAGGAGGAGGGAAAGAAGAAAGGAAGGAAGCAAGGAAGGAAGGAAGGAAGGAAGGAGGGAAGGAAGGAACGAACGAATGAACGAACAAATGATGGGTAAAAGGAAGAGAGGAATGGAGGGAGGGTAAAAAGCAGGAAAGGATGGAGGCAAGGGGGAAGAGAAATGAATGAAGAAAGATAAAAGTAGGAAAAAATACATTCGTTATTATCTTTCCATGAAGTGGAGCTCCTACATAATACTCAGAATGGCATTGAGTCTAGGACCGCACAGAAACACCGCTGCACAATAGTATCTGACCATTTTGCTACTTGGGTTTCCAGGTATCAATTGGTAGGTGAAACTAATTTCCGTGACTGTGAAGCAGATGGATGGTCCAATGATGTTCCTACATGTGAAAGTAAGTATAAAACCCATTCACAATGATCTTGAAACACCCGAATTACCTAAGATTTTTTTAAATGGTTCACATTAAAATATCCTTGAGGCCTATGATTAAATATTTCTCATTCAAACTATTTTTATGATTTCTAGTAGAGAACAGAGAACTTGGTCACTTTATCACTGCATTATTTTGTGTCTTAATATACCCAATATGGGTGCTGAAGATGTAGCTCAGTAGTAGAGTGCTTTAAGTCTAAGGGACTAGGTTCATTCCCCATCACCCTCCTCATTCCCCTAAATCACATAATCTACTTGGCACCAATATATCCTGATGCATTCAGAAAACCCTTAGTTGGTATTAGGAAAGCTAGGGTTCATTCTGGCTTCTCAACACTAGAAATACACACATAGCATCACTTGCCTAAAGCATATCAGACTTTCTGCTTTGGTAATGAAGAACATCCCACGCAGGGACACCCAAATACAGGAGCCTCAACTGGAACACAGAACATGACTTAAATGTCTCTCCTGAACTGATCACCAGCTGTGGGTGAGGAAGCGTCTCCTGTGGTTATCTTTCTACTGAGGAAAAGGTCAGGAATTACTAGAGAGAATTACTGTGGAGAGAAGAGACAGAAAGAACGAGAACATGTAGGTTCCGCTTCCTAGGGTTCAAACACCAATTTGAATAACAGGTCTTACTTTGATGGTGCGGGGGAGAAAGTGGGAGAGACAGACAGAGAGAGACACAGAGAGAAAGCTGTGCAACTATCTACTTGAGTATCCAAAGATTCTTCATCTGTGGAAATAAGAGGAAGATGATTGAAGCAATAGCGCCATCAAACTCACCTCTGCTTGTTTCTTTAGAAAACTGAGACTTTGGGCTACTAAAAAAAAACATCCATTCAATCAATGTTTCTCTGCAGTTGTGCAGAGAAACAGCTCTAGAATTCCAATTTTAACAGACATCCAGGGTAACTCTATAGTACAATAAAATTTGAACACCCTACCTGTGCAAAAAAAAGAAGCCCTCAAATTATTTTTGAATGAGATGAAAAGTAAACTATAGATAATTCCTCTATTAAACTATGTATCATAAAATTTCCTTTTACAAATATTATGATACACTGTCATCTTTTTCTGAAGCACACGTGGAAAGTTTGTACTTTATTATCCCAAGATTCTTATTTCTAAATTCTGGGAGACATCACAAAAACATAACCTAACATCCTAAGGGCCATCCCATACAAAAGAATCAGAGGGACATTTTATTTTGGGGTCGCTGAGTCATTTAGAAGCAGAATCTCTTACAGCCTACCCTGGCTGATGCCCATGTTCTTTAAGTGCCGTGAGAAAGCACTGTGTTTCTTTGCAGCTGTGAAGTGTTTGCCACTCACAGAGCCCAAGAACGGGAGGATTATCACCAGCGGGATGGAGGTGGACCAGGAGTACTATTTTGGACAAGTGATCCAGTTTGAATGCAACACGGGCTTCAGAAGAGAGGGCCCCAAGGAGGTCCACTGCGCGGAGGACGGGCGCTGGAGCAGCGAGAAGCCGGCCTGTGTGGGTGAGATTCGGCTGCTCACGGCTCATGGCGCGCGGTTAGCTTCTCTTAGGATAATAGATGTTTCAAAGCAAGTGTCAGCTCGAAAGAGCACAACGAATTCTAAGTGTTTGTGAAATACGTACTCTTTTAAATTCAAGACTTTTGGGAGGTCTTTTGTTTTTTTGTTTTTGCAAAGGTCATCTTATTTTATCTCGAGAATAGGTAGATAGCTGGGCATCAGTGGCTCACGCCTGCAATCCTAGCCTTTCAGGAGGCTGAGATCTGAGGATCACAGTTCAAAGCTAGCCTGGGTGGCACAAGTGGTAGAGTGCTAGCCCTGAGCACAAAAACTCAGGGGCAGTACCCGGGCCCTGAATTCAAGCCCTAGGAGAGCAACACGTGTACACACACACACACACACACACACACACACACACACACACACGAATAAATATATGATTAATGTTCTCTTAACACTTCTACTTTACAATTGAACAAACTGTGTTATGCAGTTGAATCATTTTCCCTGAATTACTATGACCATAAGGGGTCCAGTGAAAATCAAACCTGAAGTCAGATGCCAGTAGCTCACATGGATAATCCTAACTCCTCAGGAAGCTAAGAGCTCGAGTATCATAGTTCAAGGCCAGCATGGGCAGAAAATCAGCAAGATAAGATTCTATCTCCAAAATAACCAGCAAAAAGCTAGGCTGGAGGCATGGCTAAAGTGGTATTGCCAAAACCCAGCAAGCAAACTAAGCAACTATGAGTCCCTGAGTTCAAGGCCCACTACTGCCAAAATATAAATAGGTTCCAACCTAGGTCATTACACAATATATTCTCACTATAAGTACACTGAAGTTGGCTCCTGTCAGATGAATTTCAGAATTTCTCTGACATGTTGTAATATTGACCCCAGAATATATTCATCTCCATGTTTCGACAGTGATTGATTAGGCAGGATGATATTATATTTTTGAACATCTCTAGGAAGTGAATCATTTAGTTTTGTTTCATGCTATAAGTTTAACATAAATGAGTCCACTAAATAATTTTCTGTCTTTCTGGAAATCTCTATATTAAACTCCAGGTCAAGATTTCTTTAATGAATGTTTTTGGTCCTGCTCTTGCTGACTTACCCATCATGATTGATGGATACATTGGACTTTTGTGCCAAACATTGTGGGCAACTAGTTAGTTTAGCAGGTTATTTTATGTTCTGTTAATTTGAGTAGACATTTCTGTTCTATTCATTTGTTGACATCTCTCAGTCTGACACTAAAAATACAGAGTTCTCTCATTAAGAATAGGCTAGCATTTTATTCAGTGTAGCAAATTTTGGAGACTTCAGCCATTTATGGAGGCATTTGCAACTCTGCAGCTAGCTTTCTGTAATCTGTGGGATTCTCCTGGAATTGCTGGTGCTTCAGGCAAGGCCTCGGGAAGAAGGGGAGATGGATTTTAAGTGAAGAGGACAAGGGAAGGGGTAAGAACTCATGGGGAGGATAGGCATGGCTGTAGCTTGCAGAGTACACGGCTCTGTGGGGCTGGTCTGCTGCCCCTGATCCCCGAGTACCTCATGCCGGCCAGTGACCTGTCAGAGTAGGACTGAGGACCAGATAGCTTCTGCCCTGAGGGGCTGAATGCACCAGGCTTATGCACTGGGCTCTGCTTCTGTCTGATTTGGGAATCAATACAGTATTTCAAGCAGGGCAAGAGATGGCCCCTTGAAAGTTCTCTAAGTTATACACTAGGAGAATGGATGAGAAAAAGAGAAGACAATTTGGGAGGAAAGGGAGTTATCATTGTTATAACCCCAGGGAGAAAAAAAAAAAAAACATTAGAAAGAAGTCCTGCCAAAGCTGATGGCCAGCTTGTTTTATTGGGTTGGGATGCTGAAGACACAAACAAAAAACAACTTTACTTTCTTCCTTTTTCTTCCTTCCTTCCTTCCTTCCTTTCTTCCTTCCTTCCTTCCTTTTTCTTTTTTTCTTTCTTTCCTTTTTTCTTTCTTTCTTTCACTAGTACTGAACCCAGGGCCTTAACTATTTTTATTCTACCACAGCGCTCTACCACTAATCAACATCTCCAATTCTAGCTTTTTTGGTGGTTCATCAGAAATAAGAGACTTTCTACCTGGGCTAGTTTCTAACTGCCATCCTTAGATCTCAACCTACAAAACGGCTAAGGTTCCAGGCATGAGTCACCTTTGTTGAAGGTGATTGGATGAAACTGTAAATCACAGCACACGTCTCTGCATTTAATCTCATACACACATCTGATGACTAACCGGCTGCCAATTTATTTTAGGAGGACTGATTTGCCATTAAGCAAAATAAAATTAGAAACGAGAATTTTAACTTCTTTCCAAAGTGAAAGTTCAGAACCACAGATAAATCATCCATCAGACAGTCAAGTCCAAACATCTTTTCGCCTGGTCAGCTGATTCACCTGAGTGGAAACACCATTTCTGACTTTATGTAAATATGATTTACCCACAAGCTTATTAATTCCTAATAAACACTTCAGAATGAATCCCTTGCATTTAGAAATATCCTGCACATTGCCAGAAATTCAAAATGGATACCCTCTGTCCACGGGGAGAGTTTTTAAGGAGAATGAACGATTTCAGTATAAATGTCACCCCGGGTTTGATTACACGGAAAGAGGAGATGCTGTGTGCACCGCATCCGGCTGGAATCCACAGCCCTCCTGTGAAGGTACGTCACCGGCAGTCCTGCGCTGTGTGTGTGTGTGTGTGTGTGTGTGTGTGTGTGTGTGTGTGTGTGTTCTGGGTTAGCAGCCAGAGCCAGAGCTCTAGCACTGAGCTACACACCCCTTCCCAATTATCTCCATTAATATCATCCTTTTAATTCAGCAATTTATTATTGTCAGAACTAGAGGGCCATAATTGTGTAGGGACTCACTATTATTTTTTTTAAAAAAACACACAACAGTGTAGCCCAGCATCTTCAGCGTGCAAGGTTCCTTTTGAGACCATCTGGGATGAATTTGTCACTCGCCACATCTCTGGGGGGACAGAGGCAGCCCTGTCACGGGTTTCCGAATGCCCCAGACTCGATAATTCTCCAAACACCAACCCAAGAAGGAAGCTTTTAAAAGAAATTGTATCCAGGTGAGGTGAGAAAACCCATATTGCGGGAAAGGAAGTGGAGGTTTTCACTATCAGGCTGCTACCGATGACCAGTCAGCAGCCACTGCAGAACACAGCCGGACTGTGCTGGCATCCTCGCCATGGGAGCCAGCAGAGCTGGGAGCGAGTTCCAGGTTCCAGCTGGACTCTGCCCCACGGGAACACTGTGTGCTGTGCAGCCGCCTCATTTAACAGGGGAACTCTCACACTATTCTGACCTAGAAGAGAAGTTATACACAAAGAATTTCAGAAATCATGCTAGAAGAAGGATAGCAATAATAATAATAATAATGATGAGACTGGTCTCAATAGGCATTCAATCTCTTTCCAATGGGTTAAAGTTTAATGAAATATACTTTATATTAATTAGAGTAATATAGTTTAATCTATAATATGCTAATATGTTAATATAATGTTATATGCAGGTAATAGTGTAAAATAACGTCAATACAATAACATATACTATGTTAATATGATATTTGCATTAACTGGAGTATATTAATAGAGTTTCATGTTGACAAAAGCACTCTTCTTTCTGTACTTCAGCTAATATTTTGCAAATGCTCCCTGTTTTCTTGTACTCCAAATATATAGACCTTAGTTTCTTGGCATGTATATAATTCAAACTCACCACTATATCTAAATTTATAAGAAGCAGAACAGTCGATAATAAAACAAAACATGAGTAAAATCATCAAGGAGGCGCTAGTTCAGTTGTCTTCCATGTTCACGTTAGAGGTCAAGCCGGAGGCCTTGCTGAAGTGGTAGAGAGGCAGCCAAGGGAGCAAGCAGAGCTAGCACAAGGCCAAGAGTTCAAATTTTCCGCTGCCAAAAGAAACAGAGTCATCTAAAGTGAATTACCAGAGCCTTGCCCACTAGATTCCTAAAGGGCAGTCTCCGGCAGGTCATTTGCACTCATCCGGCAGGTCATTTGCACTCAGAGTGGCTAAGTGTGTTCAACGAAGTTGCTTGGCTTCTCTGGGCAACAGAGGCTCACACCTAGAGTCCTGGCTACTCAAGAGACTGAGATCCAAAGGACTGTGGTTCTAAAGCAGTCCCTGCCTAGACTTTCTAAATCTCCAATTAACCAACAAAACGTTAGACTGGAGGTGTGGCTCCAAGTGGTAGAATGCCACAGTAAGCAAGAAATATGAGCAAGAGCACAAGGCCCTGAGTTCGAGCTCTAGTAGTGGCTTCAGTGATCCATCTTGAAGCATATAAAACTCCTTTCACTCATTTTCCTGTGGTTTCGTGCAGTGCTGAGGACCGATCAATGACAGTCATGTCTTCGTGGTGATGTACATAATCAAGTTTCATGGGCGGCCACTTCTACCTCATTCACGTCGCTTTCTTTTGCAGAAACGACGTGCAAGCCTCCTTACATTCCAAATGGCGTCTACTCACCTCACAGGATTAAACACAGAACTGAAGATGAAGTCAGATACCAATGCAACAATGGATTTTACCCCTCCACCCGGGGAAACGTGGTGAAATGCACCAGCACTGGGTGGGTGCCCGCACCCCGGTGCACCTGTAAGTTCCACTGGCTCTGGAATACTTTTCCTCTGAGTCTGCTTCCTTTCAAGTGTACAGAAGCAGAGATGTAATAAAATAAAAACGAACTCTCTGATGCTGTGTATGTGAAGTGGAGATGGGGGGAGGGGGCAGTGTTCCTTGCTTTGCGGAATAGCTGACAGTAAGCAGTAACAAGACCGCATGAGCCTGCTTTCCATTGCTGGTCACCCCAAATGAAATGTATGTCCATAAACATCCGCTTCTCCAATTAAGAAAATGCTCCCAATATCTGAATTGGAAGCACTGGGGAGGAAGATGGCCACTCCATGCTCTGTGGTGCTGGCGATTTGAACTCAGGGCTTCCCACAGACAAGGCAAGAACAATACCACTGACCACGCCACCATCCCTCCTAGGTAATACTTTTATGTTTATATTTAACATATTATTCATTGTGCTGCTTACACATTTCTCCCCAAAACAAGACCCTATATTCTCTGTACACAGTCCTTGTTAGCTCACAGCTTCTCTAGGCCAGGCATTGGGGGATGGCTTGGGTGAGGCCTGGTGAGATGGAATGCTTGTTGGAGCTCTGCCCAGGATGCTGACTTGGGCTGTTGTGGGCTGAAAACTCGGCTGGGCTGTGAGATCAGTTTCCAACATGGCTCCTCACAGAGGTCTCGGTGGAGGCCTGAGTTCATCCCTGGGCCTCCCCCTGGGCTATTTCACGAAGGCTCACTTCTTCAGAGCTGCTGCTCAGAGCCATTCCTTCCGCCATGTCTGTTCTTTAGAAGTGAAACATCTTCCCAACCTACAACCCACGCTGAATGTATACGCAGGAAAGGAGGGAAAGAAAACTCTGTTAGGAGGGAGGCAAAAACTAAGGGCTTTCAAAGTTCTTGAACCTCTTACACTTGAATCAGGATTATCTCATTTCTGTGAGGCATCCACTCAGCCCTTTGTTGTTTCCATCTGTCTCCATGATTGAATTCCTCTTTATCCACCAGAACATCATAAACACGTTCCATACTTACATTGGCTCTATAATAAAGGAAAAACGTAATGATACCATGGATTGTTCAATGGCCTTTAGTTACACAGCTTTCTGCCTCTGTCCCCAAATGCCTAAAATATGTAGTTCGGGCATGCCCACAATGCACCTGCAATCCCAGCTACTCAGGAGGCTGAGGCAGAAGGATCACATGTTTGAGTTGAGCTAAGTCTCATCTCAACACAAAACAATGGCTAAAGGGTTGGGGGTATGACGAGTTAGTAAAGGTGTACCCAGTCACACATACCCACAAAAATACACGAATACTTAAACAAGTAAGTAAATAAATAAATGAGACAGTGGGGAAGTATCTGTTAAAGGAAATAAGATACAAGAAAGTAGACAGAAAAGACTCTGTCTCTAGTGTTCTTTAAACAAAGACATTGAGATCAACATGAATTCCAAACACGCAATCCACATCACAAGGGTGTACAAACTCTTGAAAAAAGAATCTGGAATCAAACTAGAAAGAAAATGGATGCCTCCACTTCTAAAAATCTTTCATATAATTGTGTGCATGTATGGAGGGAAAGGAGAAATTGCTTAAACACGTCCCATAATGTTTCTAGATAGAATTATTCTGCATAAGAACAAAGGAATGTTATTCCGGCATAAAAAATACAAAGCATTTCTAAATAATCTCATGAAAAGAGCACAGTTGAAGAAAATATTATGTGTGCATAATGCAGCACACAATATTGGGTTTAAATGTAGACTCAGAATCACTCAGGAAATTATCTGATGCCTCAACTTTTAAAGATATTTTATAGCATTAAAAATATGTCATTTTTTTCTGGGCTTGGAAGGTGGCTCAGTGGTAGAGTGCTTGCCTTGCATGCATGAGGCCCTGGATTCAATTCCTCAACATCACATAAGCAGAAAAATCTGAAAGTGGCACTGTGACTCAAGTGGTAGAGCGCTCGCCTTGAGCTGAAGAGCTGAGGGACAGCGCTCAGGCCCAGGGTTCAGGCCCAACAATCAACAACAACAACAACAAAGTCATTTTCCAATTAAAACTACAATTACACAGCATCATAATTTTAAACATGTGGCTATTAACAAGTGTTCACAGGACATTTGCATGGTGACCTGCATATATCGTTTCAACTTCATTAGCAAACTAACTTCCCTTGGCCTAGAAACTTCCATGCTCTGTGTGTGTCGATGATAGGAAATAACTCATGGATGAAAGGATTCGTCTAGGATATGATCTAGTCGACCTACTGAGTTTTTCTTTCTTGTTTTCTATTGCAAGTGAAACCTTGTGACCTTCCAAAAATAAATCATGGCGATCTATATAACAAAGAGCGATATAAACCATACTTTCCAGTGCCCATAGGATCGTCTTTCAATTACTACTGTGACAGTGGTTTTGTGACGTCATCATCACACTCCTACTGGGATTCTATTTCTTGCACAGCAGAAGGATGGACACCAGAAGTGCCATGCCTCAGTATGTAAACACCTCTACAATCATGTAATCCTTTCAGGGCGAGCAGAGAGGATGCATATGTATTTAAAAGAAGTCTAACTAGGCATCCATGGCTCACACCCATAATCCTAATTACTCCGAAGGCTGAGAGCTGAGAATCAGGAAAAGTCCATGAGACTTTTTTCTCCAATTAACCACCAAAAAGCTAGAAGTGAAAATGTGACTCAAGCAGTAGAGCTCCATTCTGGAGGACAATGCCAAGAGACGATGAGAGGCCCTGAATTCAAGTCTCATCCAGTATTGGAAAATACACCAAACAGTATGCAGGACTTATTAATTCAGTTGCACAGGCCAGGCATGGTGGTACATGCTCGTAATGATGACATTGAGGATATGGAGACAGGGTGAGTTTGCAAGCAGGCCAGACCGCCTGACAAGACCCTGTCTTTAAAGCAGGGAAGGGAAAGGAAGAGCAGTGGGAGAAAAAGAATCCACTTTTGTCTTTCATAAGGAAGAATACTTTCATGACTATCCTGTGAAAAATAAAGACAAAAGCTTCACAAGAATACTGACGTATGTTTTAATCAATAGGAGCTAGAGATAAAGAAATTGTATTTGGAGGAAGTGGCACTGTGGCTCAAGTGGTAGAGCGCTCGCCTTGAGCTGAAGAGCTGAGGGACAGCGCCCAGGCCCTGAGTTCAAGTCCCACGACCGACCCTCCCACCACTACCCCCCCCCAAAAAAGAAAGAAAAAGTATTTGAAAACAAATATTTGGCAGCACTTTTAGTTTTCCTTTTCTCCCTTTTCTCCTCCTCCTCTTCTTCTTCTTCTTCTTCTTCTTCTTCTTCTTCTTCTTCTTCTTCTTCTTCCTCCTCCTCCTCCTCCTCCTCCTCCTCCTCCTCCTCCTCCTCCTCCTCCTCCTCCTCCTCCTCCTCCTCCTCCTCCTCCTCCTCCTCCTCCTCCTCCTCCTCCTCCTCCTCCTCCTCCTCCTCCTTCTCCTTGTGTGTGTGTGTGTGTGTGTGTGTGTGCTGATCCTGGGACTTGAACTAAACACCTGGATACTCTACCTGAGCTTTTTCAACTAAGGCTGGAACTCTACCACTTGAGCAACAGCTCTACTTGTGGCTTTTTCTTGCTTCATTGGAGATAAGAATCTCACAGACTTTCCTACCCAGGTTGGCTTCCTACCAGGATCCTCAGACTTCAGCCTCCTGAGTAGCTAGGATTACAAGTGTGAGCCACCGGCGCCTGATTATTTTTTCTTAATCACACATTATTCGAGATACTCTGCATCCTTACTTAAACATTGTTTTTGTTTTTTTTTTTACATTTCTTTTTTCTTTTTCTTTTTTTTTAATTTTATTTTATTTTATTTGTGAACATACTGTACAGAGGGGTTACAATTACATGGGCAGGATAATGCGTACATTTCTTACCAAGCATTGTAGCCTCCTCCTTTGTTTACCCTTCACATCCCTTCCCAGCCTCCCCCCTCCCCCCCAATCCCAATCCTTCTCCTTCCCCCCCTTACCCCCCCCCCCCCGCACCGACGTTGTAAAGCTCGTTTTGGACATGACAACTTGTACTTCTCATTGTTGCAACAGGTCTACCTGTATCCTTAAACAACTGGTTTTTCCCCATCTCCTCCACAAGTTATACTGACATCAAATATAGTGAAAGCAGGGGTTATACTATGGAGGAGGGACATACAAAGCAACAACATTGTAAAGGCAAATATTTTATTTTAGTATTTTAATCAAACTAATAGTTTCCCCTTTCTTTATCATTTATTTCTATGTTCCTAAGAGCAATGTGAACTTCATTATGTGGAAAATGGAAGGTATCCCAGATGGCCAAGACTGTATGTACAAGGTCAGACTGTAAAGGTTGAATGCAACACCGGCTTCAGTCTTCCCAATGGACTGAACATGGTCACATGCACAGAGGACAACTGGAAACCTCCTCTCAAATGCATCCGTGTCAGTAAGTAATCGGCAGAGCCAGGCGTGTTCATGGGTTTTAAGACCTGTTCACTGTAAGCATGCCAAAAGATCTCCTACTTTAGCATTGCAAAGATGTGGAAGTGAATATCCAAGTTGCTTGACAAGTACTCAGCACAACGTGAGTCTATCAGGGGCGTGAGTCAGTAGAACCATAAAGATTCCAACGTTATATTCACTGTCCTATTACTATATGCATTGAGAGACTTACCTATTGACTTGAGAAGGACTGTAGAATTCTAGTGTGCAACAGAAAATAAATCCGATGGTAGCCAGCACCGCCAGTGGTATTTTCAAGAGGTAATAGGACAATTTTCACAGAATGGCTACTCGTATCTGAATTTCTCTGAGGTGTGTAACTAAATAGTAGTTTTTCAGAAATGTTATACATGTCATCTAGTGCTTGTGCCAATAACTATGTATATTAACAGCTCCTCAGAAAAGACTGGGTGATATCACAGATAACTATTTACATAATAAATGGCTATACAATGATGGAGTGCTGTGTTTCTTGATAGTCGTTTCTTTTTTTTATTAAATGGGTTAGCAACTAAAGTCATAAGTTAATGGCGGTTAATTTTACTCTATCTCGTGGAGGTTTGGGCATTTGTTGTCAGAATCGATCATTTTAAATATTAATCCCTTTTAATTAAGTATCTTGCATAGGTGCTCATTTTTGTGGCTTGCATTTTATCCTTAATACTTATCATGCCCAATGAGTAGATCTGTTTTTTTTTTGTTTAATAGTTTGTATTTCTCTTTAGTTCATTTTTTTAATTTTAAAAGTTATAGAAGTTTATCTTTCTTTTTCATGGGTCTAATTCCTCAACTGAATTGACTTTCATGCATGATAACAATCGTATTTCCTTTTATGAAAATGGTGAAATGCCCAGATTGCCTAGCAACTCGATACGTAGTTCATTTTGCAGTCTTACTAAGCAATTGTTTAGCTGATGTCTGGGTAATCTTCCATCTTAAGTAGCATAGACATAGAATGGGTAGGGACATCAGTCATGACCTTTCACCTTATCTTTTATTGTTCTGTCTCTTTGGGGATTGGGGTCTCGATTTTTCATACGCCTTTGAAATCAGCTTGCAAAGTCTTCCAGTTTCAATGTATAGATTTGAACTTAAATCAGTACATGTTGCCTTGCGTGTGATAATGTGAGTCCCTGACTTTCTGAAGTCGTAGTAAGTCAGAATGATTGCATAATTCCGAGATGTCTGTGCTGTGGCTCCTGTCCCTCTGCCTGACAGAAGAACTTAATAGATGTTGCTATGATCCTGAAATTCAGAGAGTATTCTCATCTGGGTGAGGCTCAAAATCATGCACAGAGAGAGAGGAAAGGGGTAGGAGGAAGGAGAGAGGGAAGGAGGGAGGAAAGAAGGAGGGAAAGAAGGAGGGAAGGAGGGAGGGAAGGAAAGCAAGATGGAGGGAGAGAGGAAGGAAGGGATCCTATAGAGATTCGATGTTGCTGCTTTTGAAGATGGAGGGCGTGTGGAGCTCTCAGTAGAGAAGCCTCTGCAAACGGAAAATGGCCAGAGCAATGGTCCCCCATTATTCCACCAGAGAGTTCCGCATGAACAGGGTAGCCATGTCTATGCCACATTCCTGGTCTTCAGCATTTTAAGATACTAAATTAATCTTGTCCACATGGACTAGTTTGTAGAATTTCTACAGCAGCTCTAAAATGAACATTATTTTATTGACTGTTTCCATTGGTCTACCAATTTTTTTTTTCTGGTCATGGGGCTTGATCTCTGGGCCTGGGCACTGTCCCTGTGCTCTTCAGCTCAAGGCTAGCGCTCTACCACTGGAGCCACAGTGCCACTTCTGGTTTTCTGGTGGTTTATTGGAGATAAGAGTCTCACAGACTTTCCTGCCTGGGCTGGCTTTGAACTGCGGTCCTCAGATCTCAGCCTCCTGAGTAGCTAGGATTACAGGCATGAGCCACCGGTGCCCTGCTTGGTCTACCAATTTTCTTCACATTGTTCTATTACCTTGTCAATTTCTACAAGTGAAAAGCTTGTTGGGATTTTAAGATTGAGTTGAAGATAGATGATAGATATATAGATGGATAGATAGGTATGACAAAGTGATAGGTGTTATCGATATAGATTGATAGCTATCAAAAATAAATTATCGGTAGATGAAATAGAGATGGATATATAGGTAGGTTGGTAGATAGATAGATAGATAGATAGATAGATAGATAGATAGATAGATAGATAGATAGATAGATAGATGTAAAGATAGATAGATAGATAGATAGATAGATAGATAGATAGATAGATAGATAGATAGATAGATAGATAGATAGATAGATAGATAGATAGATAGATAGATAGATAGATGTAAAGATAGATAGATAGATAGATAGATAGATAGATAGATAGATAGATAGATAGATAGATAGATAGATAGATAGATAGATAGATAGATAGATAGATAGATATAGTATTTTTGGTGCCATGCTACGTCAGTGCCATTTTCTGGTGAAGTTTATCTATTGCTCTTTGGGTTGAGTTAGGAATTCCAGTAACATTTATGTGAGATTCCTTTGCTCTTTTGCAGGGGGGGGTAGGGGAGTAGATATTACCATCAATGTCTTCATTTCTTGGAGCCCTTTGTGACTGTATTTCTTGGTGTTTGGCATTGGACACTTGTTTTAAATTTTGTTCCATAGACCAAATTTGATTATTTTGGTCCTTCACATATTTTATGAACAGTGTCTTAGGGGAAAGTCGTTTATCCAGAGTAGAATGGCCCTTTCTAGGTAGGCGAAAGGATCTTTCTACTCTTATCAACATCCCCCAGGTGTGCTGAAACTCTTGACCTAGCTGTTCTGTAGGAATGGTTTTTCCTCTGGCAGCTTTTCTTGTAGCCTAGAATCCTGGAGTTTCATCCTACCCTACATCCCGGCAACATTCACCCGGAAAATCAGAGGATTGCTGTCCCCAGTCCTCCAGCCCTCACGCTCTGTGTTTTCCCTTCTCTTTCTAGCCTCCAAATTCTAGTAAGCATCGGTCTCTTTGATAACACCGACTTTTGTTTTTCGACTCAATAAAACTGCCTCTTTCTGCTTCCGTTCTTTCCCTATGTAATGTTTTCTGGAAAATCCTTCCTAACATAAAGTCCTGTTGTCTTCTCGTCCGTCCTTTCCTCTCTGGAATTACAGCACAGGTGCTACTTTCATTCCAACATCTGGCTAAAGCTCTCTGCAAAATCTACCACAGTTTCCTCCTTGTTTTGGTTGGACCTTTGTAATTCTTCATTATTCCTGCTGACATTTTAATGCATTTCTTTATAAAAATCAATCCATCCTTTATTAACTGTCCCTCTTGTTTGTTTTCTCTTTGATCCCTACTCATGATTGTATGATTCTTTTTCAGATTTTATGCTCATCTTTGGGACTGGTTGTTTTTGTCTAATTTCTTAAAGTAACAACAATTGTTCTTTTGTTAAATAGCTTTTTGATGACAAATTCCCATCTCAGCAGAGTAATGTCACCTCCCAATGCTTTCACTAATATTCAATCAAATTATTTAAGCTTTTCTCTTGATTTTCTTTTTGACAATGAAGCTGCATTGTGGGAAAAGGCAGTCCAGCATACAGCTCAGCTGGGTTGCACATAACTGGAGGAATCGCGCTTTCCACAGGAGAAGATAAACAAATGCATCAGCCCTTCTCATTTTCCTTGAACTCCATGCACCCGTGTGTTTTACGCACAGACTTGTGATGCCATCTTGAGCTTTGATCTTCAAGTGATTCAGGAACCCCAAATGGAGAGAGAAGATGCCTGTGAGATCCAAAATATTTCCAGATTTAAAGCCAGTGCCACACTGGGCACCGGTGGCTCCCATCTGGAATCCTAGCTACTCAGGAGGCTGAGATCTGAGGATCACAGTTCAAAGCCAACCTTGTCAGGAAAGTCCATGAGGCTCTTATCACCACTAAACTACTAATAAAAATAAAATAAAGTAAACAAAATGAAAGTGAAGCTGTGGCTCAAGTGGTAGAGCGCTAGCCTTGAGCAAAAGAAGCTCAGAGACAGTACCAGGCCCTGAGTTCAAACCCCACAACCCTCTACCACCACCACCCACCCATAAAAAAGAAAAGTTAGTCCCAGGAAAACAAACAAACATTGCCTATGGATTTCTGGCATGCTTGGGCCTGGGTTCCATTAGACAAACAGACTTCTAGTAACTTCTTGGAAGGGATTGTGAGTCTTAAAAATCTTACCTGGTTATAAAAAAAATTCATATAGAATCTTAAGGAAATATCTTTGGAAACTCATAGTTTGCTTTCCTTCTTCCTTCCTTCCTTCCTTTCTCTCTCCTTCTCCCTTCCTTCCTCTGTCTCTCACTCTCTTTCTTTCTTTCTTTCTCTTCTTCCTTCCTCCCTTCATCTTTCTTTCCTTTGTTGATCCTGGATTTGAACTCAGGGCCTGGGCACTCTCTCTGAACTTTTGTGCTCAAGGCTGGCACTCTACCACTTGAGCCACAGCTCTACTTCCAGCATTTTTAGTAGTTATTGCAAATAAGAGTCTCATGGTCGTTACTGCCTGGGCTGGCATGGAACAGCAATCATCAGGTTTCAGCCTCCTGAAGAGCTAGGATTACAGGCGCAAGCCACAGCCCCTGGGTTTCTTGGACACAATGACCCGCGTTCGTACGATTGATCACGCCAGGTTTTCACATACATGATTTTATACGTGCGAGTCTTCATAAAACGTTATTAAACATGTGTTTGTCTTTTCCTTGTTCCTTTCCCTTATAGAAACATGCTCAAAATCAGAGATAGAAATCGTGAATGGGTTTCTGTCCCAGTCAGATTATGTATACAATGTAAATAAACAAACAGAATTCAAGTGCAAGCCAGGATATATCACAACAGAGGGGGAAACATCGGGAACAGTGACGTGTCTGCAGCATGGCTGGTCGGCGCAACCTGCTTGCATCAGTGAGTACCCAGCCCACGGCGATGAGCAGCCCTTAACATCCCCCGAGGTTTAACTCCATTCTCCCTTCAATTTATCGGAAAGAAAAAGAAAAAGACAGTCTTTGAGGAAAGGTGTACATTAGTGTGTTTTTCTTCAGGACTAAGTTTTAGTATCGTGGAATATCAGTACATATTTGCCTTGTTCCTTTAAAGGCATCCATGGTTCAGAAACTAGTGAGGCAGCGTGATGTGTAATCCATGCAAGCTCACTTATTTTATCTGAAACCACTGCAGCTGTTAGTGCATACCTCGCTGTGGCCTGGATGTCCACGTGTTTGTAAAAGTTGTCTTCTTGGTTAAGATATTGGTACATGGTATATAGTTTCAGAGTAATTTAACTTCTGTAATTTACATATTGGATGCCATAAAGTCGATCTACTTTGGCCCTCTTAGAAAACCTACATCAACCTCTAGTTGGAAAACAAGCCATGTTTCTGAGCGGCACCTACTTTTTGCTGTGTTAAAAGGTTTTCTGCAATCCTATCTAGAAGTGAATGAAGGCTTTTGTAAGACAGATCTGCTCAGTTTATATTATTTGTCAGAACACCAGTCAGTGCTGTTTTTAAACTGCTGTTTAACACAGGATGAAGTGGCTAATTAAGCTATCCATTCCCGGTGTCTCACTGTCTCTGTTTCTTCCTTTACATTCAATGCTTATTGCAGGGTCTAGCTACAGAGAAAAGATGATAAAAATGGTCCTCATTCAGAACTTATTTTGTACCAAATTACAATCAATAATCCATCAGGAGACTTTCTTATTGTCAATGAAATCTGTCTTACATAATAAATGCATTGATTTTTAAAAAAAAACTCATTAACCAACTTGTTTCTTTATGTCACAACAGGTAAAGTCTGCTACATTAATAACACAAAATACTGTTATAGCTTCATAAAAATGTGACATTCATTCATATTGGCCTACTTATTTAATTCTGCTTACCTTAATCCTAGTATGGAATAAATGCATGAATATGACTAAATTGAGAATAAAATCAAATGTTTTCCAAGAGTTTAGGTGATATGAAAAATGTTATGTATGAATGTTTTTCATTTCTAGCATTTCATTGTCATTGATAATTAATATAAAATATTGGTAATTAATATATAATTTATGTTACATACAGTATATATAACAATTTTATACTCTATATAATAGCTATATAATAACTCTATAGTAACAGATACTGTCCTTATTTTGTACAGTACTAGTTTGTTAGCATATGCTAATCAATAAGGTCTGTTCTGTTCTTACTCTGAAAATTACTCTGGCCAACCTTCAAAGTCCATCGGGAATGAAATTCTCAATTTTGTTGTATGTTAGAATCTTGTGATAAGCCAGTATTCGAGCATGCCAGCTCCAAAAATAACGCCTCGTGGTTTAAACTCAATGACAAATTGGACTATGAATGTCACGTTGGATATGAAAATAAACATAAAAAAGTCAAAGGTTCCATAGTGTGTAAACATGACGGATGGTCAGATACACCTTCTTGCTTCGGTAAGTGCTCTTTGTGTTTTCGGGAATTTTTTTTTCCTCTAAAGATTAAAAAAAAAAAATAGATGTTTATGTGTTCTAGTTTGAGCATTAAAAAACATGTCTGGGTATATTTGTAAATAATAATAAATTCACAGCCTTTCTTTTCTGATTGAGTGTAGGCTGTGATTTAACATTTGAATGATGTCTTGAAGGCCAAAGATACTAATGTGCTGCCAAAAGAATTTATTAGCCAAGCATGATGGTGCACAGCTCTGGTCTCAGCACTCAGGAGGCTAGGCTAGGATTGTGACTTTGAGGCCAGCCTGGCTATAGAGCGAGATGCTGTCAAAAAACAAACAAGCAAACAAGCCAATGCAGTAAATGGGTCTCTATGGACCACAGGCAACACATAGTTCTGGTTGGAGAGTAATTGCTTTTGTTATTCTGAAAGTAGGTAGGCTTTTAAGCGATTGGAAACTGGAAAGTCATCACCAAGCTCTGGATGCTGTTTCTGCTTTACATCTTTCCCCTTGAAAGTTAAATTCTACAGGTCCCAGCGCAACTGTTCGCTTTCTAACATTGGTGACTTGTAAAGAAATGAAATAAAAAGCAGTTGAACTGGCAGATTGCCGGTCAGGACAGCTGAGTCAGGACTTCCTTCCTTCTCCTCCTGAGTGAAAGGTAGATTTAGGGGTCTGGGAAACCCAATGTGGATCATTCTGTAAGGGAACGTGTAGGTTTGTCCACTGAGCACCTCCCTCCTTGGTTCATGACAAATATGAAATTCACTTGGGCAATGGTTAATTCTGTATTCTTACTAAATCATTTTCCTTTTTATTCTTTCTTTACAAAAAGAAAGAGAATGCAAGATTCCCAAAATGGAAAAATACTTAATAGCTGATCCCAGGAAAGAAAAATATAAGGTTGGAGATGTGTTGAAATTCTCCTGCCGGCCAGGACGTACAAGAGTTGGGCCGGATTCGGTGCAGTGCTACCACTTCGGGTGGTCTCCACAGGTCCCAGTGTGCAAAGGTGAGTGCGACAGGAGGGCTCAGGTTCTGAGCAGAAGCCTCTTCTCTGCTCTCTGAGATCCCTGTCGTCTCCTGCATGTGCACCACCTCGTGCCTTCTGAGAAAATACCGGAAGGACTCCGGTATTCATGTAGTAAGTGAATCACCAGGTGTTTCTGCAAATACACATTGACACATGCGCACAAAGGAGCTAGGTAGAGAGATTGCTTTTGTGTCTTTTCAGGGTGCCACACTCCCACTATTAATAGGGAAGAATTCATACAGCTTGTACCTCATCCCAGGCTTTGCTGAGCCTGCCTAAAAAACTGACTTAGCTCAGCACTGTGTATTAGTCAACCAAAGTAAAATGTATTCATCTGTGATGATACTCTTTCAAAAGAGCATTTATAAAATATGACCTTAGATTATAAATATTAATATATTTACTTGTGTGTGTGTGTGTGTGTGTTTGCTGACGGGTTTTCATGCATCCTGAACGTATCTAGATTTTTCAGCATACCTAAAGCCTCGAATATATTTCTAATGCTATTTCAAAAGAAATAATATGAATCAATTACAGATACAGATCAAATACAAATAATATGATTCAGTATTTGATTGCAACACAAATGCAATGCAAATATTCTTTTTAACAAAGCAGGCTGTAATAAATTAAGCGACTAATAGATTCTGAAGAGAAAACAGTTTCATTGCACTGTGTTTTAAAGTTGTAAACTGAAGGATGTAGACATAACTGACTCAGTGCTTCTGTAGAAACCGTCCAGCCCTGTGGTCCCCCACCTGAACTGCTCCACGGGGAAGTGAAGGGACCCCTGGAAGAACAGTATGCACACGGCGATGTGGTGGAGTACAACTGCACCTCTAGATTTCTCATGAAAGGACCAGAGAAGATTCAATGTGTTGATGGAAAATGGACAACCTTGCCAGTATGCATCGGTAATCATTTTTTTAAAACTATTATTTTTTCTGGGCACCTGTTGTTGTAACTACTCAGGAGGCTGAGCTCTGAGGATCCCAGTTAAAGCCGGCCCTCGAAAATCAATCTTAACGACTTTTCTTTCCCATTCACCAGCAAAAAGCCTGAAGGTGGAGGTGTGGCTCAAGCGGAAGCGTGCCATCCTTGAGTGACAAAGCCAAGTGGGAGCACGCGGCCCTGAGTTCGAGCCCCAGTAAAAGCCTGTAAAAACAAATCAATAGATAATGTAAACAAGTCTATATCCACTTAGCACAGACATGACATCTTCATCGTGAAATGTTCGCAGAGGAGCACAGGACGTGTGGAGACATTCCCCAGCTGGACCACGGCTACACCCAGTCCTGGGAGCCCGGTGCCCCGCATCGCCATGGGGACACGGTGGAGTTCCAGTGCTCAGAAGCCTTCACCATGGTTGGGCCCAAGTCAATCACGTGCGTGAGTGGAGCGTGGACCCAGCTTCCCCAGTGTGTCGGTGAGAAGACCCTCTTCCACCCCAGCCCTTACCGAAGCTGAACTCTGTCTTTTTTGTCTTTTTTTCTTTTTGTTGGTTGTGGGGCTTGAACTCTGGGCCTGGGCGCTGTCCCTCAGCTCTTCAGCTCAAGGCTAGCGCTCTACCACTTGAGCCACAGCGCCACTTCCAGCTTTTTGTCTGCTTATGTGGTGCTGAGGAATCGAACCCAGGGCCTCATGCATGCAAGGCAAGCACTCTACCACTGAGCCACCTTCCCGGCCCTGAACTCTGTCTTTATAGTACTGGTATTCTTGAAAATTATTTTTATTCTTATCATTCAATGTATCAGCAGAAGAAAAACTAGAACAACTCTCAGTATAGAAGGTTGTATTTCTGCCCGTGATATTCCTATTGTGTACTCATACAAGTATCAAGTTGGATTGAGGTCATAAATTGTGATAGGATTAAACTATGAGTCCCAGTTACCAAGAAACAGTGAATTTTTTCCACCTAAACATCTTTGCTGTTTTCAGGCCTTGGAAAGCCAAAGGACACTGACAAAATGCTCTCTCCTAGGAATCATTCTTCTCTAGAAACTTCTTTACATTTTTTAAATCATCTTTAAGTAGTTGTACAAAGGAGGTGCCGCATCGCAAAGTGTTTGTGACTGTGATGCCTCTTGGTCAGCGGCATTACTTCCACATTCTCTTCAACCCGCCCTGCATTCTCTCCCCTGACTCCCCCCTTAATTTGTCTACCCCTCTCCTCTAGCCCCACCTCCTCTTGGATGGGCCTATTTTCTGATGTTGATTTTGTTAGCTATTGACCTAGTCTTTCCAAAAAGGTTATACTCTCTGAACGCTCCGTAGTCTGTTCCACTTTCGTTTGTTCATTTGTCATCACTCGCATACCGCTCACCTGCTTACTTACGACTGTATAGAGATGTTCTATTTACCACAAAGGAGGGAAACCACGCACCCTCTGTTCTCTGGGTCTCACGGCTTCTAACAAGGATAACTGATCAGATTCTTTCAGACATAGCGAAAGATGGGCCCAACAGTATCATATTCTGCCAGACCTATAATTCAGGAAGCCTGGGCTGGAAACAAATCTTAGGAGGGATTTCTCTCAGCTCATCTCATTGATTCAGTACGCATGGGAAGGATGGAAGCTAGCATTTGCTTTTCCCTTGGCCTGAGTTATTCCCAGATTACTCTGGGTCCTTCCTCCAGACACTCTTCATTCACTGGATTTCTAGACATTAATCCCAGAAACAAGAGCTCAGATCTTGAGGATGAAGAGAAGCCTGCTTTGTGGGGGATGTCTGGTTGATACACGGTAGACATTCAAAGAGTCTGTCAAATGAATTTTAAAATACTTTTTTTTAATCAACCCTTATCTTACTTCCTTTGGCTAAACCTATTTTTTGGTATCAAAAGTACTGCCTTCAGTCTTTTACAACCTAAGCCCGTCATTTGCGTTTTCTTTTTCAACCAGTAAGTTCAGCTCATTTCATATGGGCTACCACTCCAAGCTCAACTCAGAGGCGAAAACCCTTCACTCTTCCTCCTGTCTTCTAACACAACTGTACTTCCACGGTCATTTCTTCTTCTCTCAGAATTGCGCTTCCTCTGGTGAGTTTCCTGTCTATGTTCAGTGTCATATCGCTGGACTCCTCTATTTTTCCTCCTATCCACACTTGGTATTTTCCTCTAGCTTCTTCACACTTTCAGTATGTTTTTTACACCTAATTAATAATGAAATACTGAAAGACACCACCACCACCACCAATGCTGACCCCAGCTCTCCCTCCAGTCCCTGCGTCTTGCAAAATGTCCAGCTTTGTCTTACTCACCAAACTGGACCCGTCCTAAGTAGGAGACAGATTTTCAAGTTTCTATTGTGCTTTGAATTTGCCTATTTCATTTTTTCCCCTGAGATTGGTTCACAATACCATTACTGTGCTTTGTTGGGTTGCTTACATTTTGTTGCTCTCTTCATTTTCATGAGATTCAAGTTTTCAAATTATTAACAACAAATATTTTAAGAGATCTACACTGATATTTCCTTAGGTTCGGACAGAATTCTCACATTCACCAAGTAATTGAAGTATATGGAACATTTAAGGCTTCTATGGTCCATATTTAACTCATAAAAGAAATAGAATTAATTTTATTACTATGACAGGATAACATATTGGATTATAGGATGATCTGGTATATGAAATAACTTCTTACAACTTCAGCCAAGAGTTTAAAGAGAAAATATCATCATTCTAAAAATCTAATTTCCTGCTGGATGCTGGTGCTTCATACCTGTAATCCTAGCTACTCTGGAGGCTGGTTCCTCAAGATCAGAGTTCAAAGCCAACCTGGACAGAAAAACATGGGATTCTTAACTCCAGTTACCCAATAGAAAGCCAGAAGTAGAGCAGTAGCAAAAACAGCCAAGTAAGAGCTAGAGGCCTCACATTTAAGTCCTAGAACACAAAGAACCTGATTTCTTATTCTAAGTCTCAGTCTCTAGTGTACTCTCTCTCTCCCTCTCTCTCCTTTCTCTCCCTCTCTGTCTCTCTCTCTCTCTCTGTCTCTCTGTCTCTCTCTCTCTCTCTCCTTCCTTTTCCCCTTTCCCCTCTCTATCTCTCTGATGGACATATAAAAATTCTTAGCTGTAGTTTTCCTATCACATGACTTTTCCTTAAAAGATACATTCTATTCTCAGAACTAATGGCTTTATTATGTATACGCCTACTGGATTCAGGTAACAGTGGTAATTATAATCGGGAAACCAATGACTGAAAACAGTTTCAGAGATTTTTTAAAAAGTACAATAAACTGAGTCATGTGGTACTGTGCAGAGCACTTGAGAAAGCAAACATCTATGTTCTTCTAGCATAAAACGTCTTCGTGTCAGATATGGTCCCTGACAGGCCACCGAATGCCTTGCCATCAGGAGCATTTGGTTGGTGGATCATGGAAAGGCATCAATCGCCGTTTCATTAGACATGAGCTCCATGACTCCAGTTTGTGTACTAGTAGGCTGGTTTCTGTAACTGGAGTTTTCACGGGAATACTTTCATTATTACAGCGACAGACCAGCTTGAGATGTGTAGACCACCCAGGATTAATACACACGAAGCAAGTCAGTCAGAAAATCGGGAGTATCCTCATGACTACGTCCTAAGTTACAGATGCCGAGGGAAGCAAGAACGTTCAAAGTGCGTGAACGGGAGATGGGACCCTGAACCAACCTGTACCAGTAAGCCCACGCTCATCCTCTCTGAACCACATCACATGGCTCCTCATTTGTAAAAGCAGTAGCTTTGTGCACTGTAAAAAAAAGTAGCTATTTATTAATAGAGATACTTTCTAAACTCGAAGATACCTTAGAAACGAATCATTTCCTAAACACTCATTGCATCCTATTTGTTAGGTACTTGTAGTACAAAAGTACAAACATAGGGACTGTAAATCCACATCTGGACACATGATCATCATTATAAAGTCCTGATGTTTCAGATTCATTTATTATACACATGTGCTTATGTATATATGGATGTATCATATATATATATATATATATATATATTACTAATAATCCATCTTTGTAGTCATCTGTTTCTACCTACCTTGAAATCTTGACAAGCTGCAATCTGGAGGCATAATATTCCAGCACCAATTCCAGCTAGCTAGCAAAGAGCTCATCCCAATCTGTATACTTTTTGTGTTTGTTTTATGCTTCCTAATTTGGTATGGTTTACCTCATTGGCCTCCATGTTTAAGTCCAGCTCTGAGTATCCAGAATACACTGACATGTCATTCCCAAGTCAGTCTATTACACATATTTCACCACCCCAGTATTCAGAAAAGCAGAAAATATTATTGATAAAATATAGATCATATTGCCTTAGGTAGGCATTTAAAAATTGAAATGATTAACAACTGATAAAATGTATTTGGTCAAATACCTCCCTGAATTGATAATACAATACTAAACAATTGGGAAGACGTACAGTACTTGGCAGGAAGCTTTTAATGCAGTGAGGTACACAGTGCAGGAAAAACAAAACAACAGAGGAATCACAATGGAGTTTATATGATCCAGATGCACGAACAAGTCTCCCCTCAGCCAAACAAGACACAAATTATCCGGACACTACGAACCTCCACAGAACATCCACAGTGACTCGGGTCTGCACAGAATCAGACGTGCGATTACAAAAGGGCCTCTACCCCTCTGCTGTGTAACCATGCTCCGTTGTACAGTATTAGCTTGGGTGCATACCATTTGTATGTTCCTAAAAAGTAAGCATGTTAATAAATGGTAGGGACAGGCGATTCCTCATCAACAATACAATCTACATTGCCTGTGGGCATATTGAATACTTACGTTGACCAAGAGTCAATCACAAATTCATTATCAAATACATTTTTTTCCTTTTGCTAATTAGCTTTGACTGGTACAATTATCTCAATCCGATCCTGATATATTTGATCACAGATAACTGCAAAAAGACCTGGATATAACTTTTAGTTGATATTTGTTATTAGAATGGTAAATTAAGTTAAAATATCATAAAGGCTAGGAATAACTAAAAATAAGTCTTACATAAATTATTAAAGACACAGCAAGAATAAATGGCAAAAAGATAAACCAGTGAACACGCCCAGGGAGACAAGAATAGATCATATTAAACTGCTATGCAAGGTAAAAAGTAACACAGAAACACAGAGCCTTCAATAACCATTGAGGATTGATTGTTACCCAATTCTCCATCTCGAAAAGTATTCTTCATCTTTTATTAAACTATGGCTTCTGAATCAAGAACATTGATGTTTATGTTTTCTAGAGATAGAACGAGGCTGGTGCCCCCCTCCCCCACAGATTCCCAAAGCCCAACCTATGGAAACCACCGTGAAGTATCAAGATGGAGAAAAGCTGTCTGTTCTTTGCCTGGAAAATTACCTCAGCCAGCAGGGAGAGGAGATGCTGTGCCAAGACGGGAGGTGGCAGGCCCTGCCACGCTGTGTGGGTGAGTCCCAGAGCACCTGGCCTTAAACTATACCCGATCATCTAGACCCACGAATCCATCACCACCATCACCACCATCATCATTTCTGTGATGAGGTAGAAAAGTCAGATTCAATTTGGGACTTGATGCTTTTTTTCAAAGATGATGATCATACAGATATTCTCATGACATCACCCCAGCAGTATTTTACTTCATTTTTCCATTTGCAACATATTCTTTTTAGTTGACCATTTGTTTTTTTTTTTTTTTCTACTCTCTGTATAGAGAAAATTGGATGTTTTCAGCCACCCAGCATCGACTATGGGACTATCCAATCTCCTAGGCTTCTGGAAGAAATGAAGGAAGCAAATGCGCCCAGACCTTACAAACATGGCACCAAATTCAATTATATCTGTGACGATGGCTTCCAACTCTCGGCAGAGGATGGGACCAGGTGTCACCTGGGGAAATGGAGCCCACCGCCTCAGTGTGTGGGTAAGGATGCAGAGCACACAGCAGTGGCCTGGGAACAAATGTGAACATGAATCTCTGATGACAGGCAACAGAGTCATTTAAATGGCTGTAGATAAAAATCATTTCCTTAAAAAAAAAAAAAAACCCCGGGCCTCATGCAGCCACATTCCCAGCCCCATGAAAAAATTTCCACGTTTTACCCTTAAAATACTTTTTTTTTAAGTTTAAAAAAAACAGTTTTGTTTTCTGATTTGAGGTGGTTATTCGCATTTCCAAGGGCTTTTTTAAAAGTTATTTAGTATTATTTTCTGTAAGTAGTTAGTTGCCTCTTAACAAAGTAGTTTGTGAATACAATATATTTCGCATAATTGAGTCAATCCTAATTCAGGTCGTTCTATTGATTAGTGATAGAACCAGCTTTAAATGAGGGGGGGAAATGCAATAGGTAGCACATTTGATTGTACCTCTTCACGTGAACCAGTACGTTTGTTCAGCCCTCAGGTTTTGTGATACTTTTTAAGGCTTTTTCCCCACAATGTCTCTTCTGGTTTTTTATAATGAGTGATGCTTTTATTAAGCTTGTCAATGCTTTGCCAGGCACTGGCAGCTCACACCTGAAATCCTAGCTACTCAGGATGCTGAGATCTGAGGATCACAGTTCAGAACCAGTCCAGACAGAAAAGCTTGTAAGACTCTAACCTCTGCAATGTCTCCTCAGCTGTTTTAGGAATTCCCACAACTACTAAGTAGGGCCCTGGCAGGTTGAATTGGGTGTGTGGCTTACTGAAACACACGTTCATTTTGCTGTCATTTTTAGGACTCCCTTGTGTGTCTCCACCTTCGATTGAGAATGGCGTTGTGTCTCACCATGCAGACAGTTACCAATACCAAGAAGAAGTCAGCTACAACTGCTCTGAAGGCTTTGGATTTGATGGACCTTCGTTTATTAAATGTATAGGAGGAAAATGGTCTACCCCACCCAGATGCATAAGTACAGTGCATTTCAGTATTTTCTCCATGTTAGATAGCCCAGAGGGCTGTCTATATGATGTCTGTAAGAAAGTAGCTGTGATTCTAGAATGTCTTAACCTTTCTCTTGAAGGCCCTGGATTTTGGCAGAGAATTTGCTCTAGATTAATTACTAATTGTATGAGATACGTTTACTATTTGACATTATGAGCAAAAATAGTTCATTTCCACATCATGTGGTGTGAACATTCAACATCTCCTGGAATAGATTCTTGACTTCTTGTCTCCCCTGCTCTAGCATGTCTTGCCTAACTCACCAATCTCATTGTTCAATCTGCAGATAGTTGATTAGCAATCTCTCTACTAATACACATCTCTTAAGAATTTAAAGCAGTCATTACAAGAAAAACTTACATGTAACAAAACAAAAACTGTAGACACATAATCTTGGTGTCATGTATGGAGGGGAAATAATTTAAGTGTAAAAGTGTGATGTCAAACGCCTGAACAACTACGAATTCTTCAGACATCCAATATCATTCTCTACTTACACGTTCAATAATTGAGGACAATTCAATATAAGGAAGGCAAAACTGGGAGCGTATTCTGCTAAGCTGTAAGAAATCTACTGTATAGGATTCATCAGTTCTACAAGTAGATATACAAGTTCTGCAGATTATTTTAAAATATAAGCATTAGATATTGTGTCTTTTAAAGTTACTGAAACATAACATCTTTTTCCTCTAGGAACAGACTGTTTTGACGTACCCAGAGTCGATGTTGCCAAACTCATGGGCCAGAAGAAGGCCGTATACAAGTCAGGGGAACAGCTCACTTATGAGTGCCCACCATTCTACCAGCTGAATGGATCCAATACTGTGACGTGTGTAAATGGCAAGTGGATTGGAATGCCAACATGCAAAGGTATTTTGACAGACCTTTCACAGCTGGCTCCAGTGCCACATTCTTGTCATCCTAGCTGCTCAGGAGGTTTAGAGCTGAGGATCATGGCTCAAAGCCAGTACAGGTAGCAAAGTCTGTGAGACTTTTAATCTCCAATTGACCATCAAAAAGCTGGAAATGGAGCTGTAGCTCAAATGGTGGAGCACCAGCCTTGAACAAAAAAGCTTACAGACAGCACCTAGGCCCTGAGTTCAAGCCGCAGAACTGGCAAAAAAAAAAAAAAAAAAAAAAAAAGCTCACTTATTAAAGTGATCTAGGGAATGGGTATTTCCTAGATCACTTTAAAAAAAATCATTAAGAATGGGTGTAGACTAATTTTTAGGCCAAAACAAAGGTTTGTATTTGAAATAAGAAGGGAATTGAATATGTAATGGTTAGTCTCATAGCACAATAGTTCTCCAAATGTGGTCCCTGAACAGCATCATCGACAGCTTTACATTTGTTGATTAAAATTCCTAAGCTCATTTTAGACCTACAGAATAAGAATAATCTAGAAGTGGGATCTTAAAACCATTTTATCAAGTGCCCAAAGGGGACTTTATGCACATATCATTTTGGAAAAGTTTGCTATTGACTCATTATCAACAATATACCGAAAACTCTAAAGAAGTCTACATTGTGCATTCTAGTCTCTTAAACGATTCTAAATAAATTATTAAAGACTTGTTTTTAACAGTTATGATTTGTTTTTCCGGGATTTTTCTTGTGTGTCCAATTAGAATTTTTTTGCATCATCCTCTGCACCTTTTGTGAACTTGTATTCTTTGAACAGTATTCTTAATTCTTGAATTACTCCCCAAATAAATACTTCTTTGTGTTTATTGGAAAGGGATAAAATTACAATTGATAATCAAGGTGGTTGAAAATGGAAGAATGAGACCATAGAATCTCCTGGCTCAGGGGGAGAGGTGTTGTTTTCTTTCAATTCATATTGCATTTATAGAAACTGTAATAATAATGTCACTAAACTACAAAGAGAAACATTCAGGAGAGGTTTTATTTAAACTGATATTGAATATGGAAAAAAATCTATCTATGTTGTGTTGAAAAATGGAAAGGGGATTTAAAGACATGAACCTGAATTTTTATTTCAAGAATAATGTGGTGGGGCTGGGAAGGTGGCTCAGTGGTAGAGCGCTTGCCTTGCATGCATGAGGCGCTGGGTTCGATTCCTCAGCACCACATAAGCAAAAAGAAAAAAGCCGGAAATGGTGCTGTGGCTCAAGTGGTAGAGTGCTAGCCTTGAGCTGAAGAGCTGAGGGACAGCGCCCAGGCCCAGAGTTCAGGCCCCATGACCGGACCCAAAAAAAAAAAAAAAAAAGAATAATGTGGTAACTTCCTTGATAACACATGTTAATTTTGTTTAGAAAATACAAAATGAACACCAGGTGGATATACTGTCTTTTTAGATAATTCCTGTGTGAACCCACCCAAAGTGGGAAATGCTACTATGGTGTCCAGACAGATGGATAAATACCCGTCTGGTGACAGAGTACGCTATGAATGCAACAAGCCTTTTGAACTATTTGGGCAAATGGAAGTCATGTGTATGAACGGAACATGGACAGAACCCCCTCAGTGCAAAGGTAAAGTGCCAGCTTCCCCAGTATGTCTGTCTGTCTGTCTGTCAGAAATATACTGTGGACAAAAGAAAAAGCCAAATGATTCTTGCTGAAAAAAAATAGTATGGCTGAATTCTTTGGTCTTTGAGCAAATGAAGCCTAGAATGGTATAAATATTTTTCAAGAAAGATGCATGCAGATTACAACCAGTGAAAATTCTTCATTTAAAATGTTAAGACATTGTTGCTTCTTGAATAGTATGTGTAAAACCTATGTTGTATAGGTTTGACATCTTATAAGATACCCATTTGAGGCTGTAGACTAGGTAGTTGAAAATGGATCATGTAATATGATATAAATTTGTTCATCTTTCATGTATAAATTCTATTTCAAGGTATAAAGTCTACTTCAATGACTGAGATCATCATATCTTGAAACAGAATTGACTGTACTTATACATAAATAAGCCTGGACACTTAGCCATTTGTACTACAATATGGAATGTTCAGGAAAAATGGAAAACCAATAATGGAGATCTTGTATCATCCATTTACATTTCTGAAAATTAATTATTGCATAGTACGTCTGGATCTTTTTTTACTTTGATTCTATTTTATTAATTGTTAATGTGGATTTTATTGACAGGAGAAAAACCAACAATGTATTAAAATACATCATCCATTTGCATTTTTAAAAATTAAATGTGCCTAGTATTTTTGTCTGTTTTCACTTTTGATTATATCTATATCTATCTATAATAGAGATAGATAGATAGATTTTTTTTTTTTTTTTTTGGTCAGTTGTGAAGCTTGAACTCTAGGCCTGGGCACTGTCCCTCAGCTCTTCAGCTCAAGACAATGCTCTAATGCTTGAGCCACAGCGCCACTTCTGGTTTTCTAGTTGTTTATTGGAGATAGGAGTCTCATGGACTTTGCTGCCCACGCTGGCTTTGAACCATGATCCTCAGATCTCAGCCTCCTGAGTAGCTAGGATTACAGGCATGAGCCACCAGCGCCCGGCTATATCTATTTTTTGGTTGTTGTTGATGAAGTGAATTTTTACATTGATAATAGGTATTTGGGTCTTGTTTATCAGTCCACTTTGCCATTGTGATACTTTGACTGGTAAATTAGGCCATTTACATTTAATGTAATTATTGATGTGCTAAGGCTGTCTGACATTTTATTTTTAAGCAATCTTATTTGGATTTATGTTCATTGTGTCTTTGACAGCATCCCCAATCTACCCTTTTAAACTTGTTGCTCTAGGCATTACAATACCCATCCCCTATGTAGATTCTCCAAATACACCCCTGTATGGAGATTGCTGTTTCTATAGCATTATACACTACAATGGAAAACTAGAAACTTCTACAATTTACCCTCCCCACCTTTTAATTAAAAATGCTTTCAGCATTTCCTCTATGAACAGGGAGTGTCACTATCAAATAATAGAGTTTGGCCTCAAATATCAAACACAGTTGACAAACTCATGGAGGAGATTCTCCTGCGTACCTTCCGTCTTATCTCTTCTCTCTCCTGAGTCACTACCTCCTGGTGCCATTTCAGTTCTGTTTGAAGAATCCTTTCTCTTACACTCCAGTGGGAGAAGGTCTACAGGAACCTGGAAAAAAAAATTAAGGAGGATGGATGGAGGAGGTAAGAGGAAGTAACTGAGAGTGGACATGACTGAAAGGCGTGTTGTGTCTGCGCGGACAGGAGCCTTTCTTTACTAGGAATGCGCACAGGCGCGTGTCTGTGCGACTCTCCTGGAGATAAGCGTGGCTTCATCCTCAGGACAGGGGCCCTGCCTGTCGCCTCGGGGCCCGCGACCCCAGGGTCACGGTGGAGCCCGGGTACCACCTCTGTGGTGCTCGGGCTTGCGCACCGGGGTGGCCTCTCCATAACCGATCCATCCAACGTTCCCTAGACGCCACCGGAAAGTGCAAGGCCCCTCCGCCCATCGACAACGGCGACACCATCTCGTTCCCGCTGCCCGTGTACCCGCCACTCGCGACCGTGGAGTACCAGTGTCAGTCTCTGTACCAGCTCCAGGGAAACAAGAGAGTCACGTGCAGAAACGGGGAGTGGTCGGAGCCGCCCCGCTGTCTGCGTGAGTGACGGTGACACCCCGGGACCCCCCCCCCCCGGGGCGCGGGGGCGCGCGGTCACCCCGGGACACCCTTCCCCGGGCGCGGGGGCGCGCGGTCACCCGGGGACCACCCCCCCGCCCCGGAGCGGGGGGGGGGGGGGGGGCGCACGGGGGACTCGAACCCCCACTCCCGGGGCCTGGCTGCCAAGGGCCCGTGGCAGGGGGTGCGCACCCCTGGGGGGTCATGCTCTCCCTCTCCACGGCCCTGATTGGTGAAGGCTCCGGGGGGCGCGGGCTGAGGATGGCGTCATCCTGAGGATGGCAAGGCGATCAATGGGATGATCATCACAGATCACCGGGTGGTCTGTGCGTCTGTAGAGGGAAGCACTTGTGAGCTGATCACACCCAACTTCCCCTTCACCAGCCATGGCTGGTCTAGGGTGTGTGGGGTGTGTGTGTGTGTGTGTGTGTGTGTGTGTGTGTAATGAACTTACAAAGTGAGAGGGAGGTCTTAGGGGGAAACTGGAGAAAACAAGAGAGGGGGTATCAATGTTTGAAGACTCATGGAAGTGGTGCTGTGGCTCAAGGGGTAGAGCACTCACCTTGAGCTGAAGAGCTGAGGGACAGCACCCAGGCCCTGAGTTCAAGCCCCAGGACTGAAACAAACAAAGCAAAACAAAACAAAGAAAGGAATGTACTCATTACCTTATGTATGTAACTGTAACCCTCTGTACATCATCTTGACAAGAAAACTAAATTTTTTTTTAAATGAAAAAAAAAATGTGACAGTTTCTGGAGAAGAATCGTAATATTTTATGATTTTTTTCTTTAGATCCATGTGTAATATCAGAAGAAATTATGGAAAGACATCACATAATGTTCAGGTGGAGAGAACAGCAAAAGCTTTATTCTAAATCAGGAGAAACAGTTGAATTTGTATGTCAATATAGATTTCATCACTCACCAGAAACACCATTGCGTGTGGAATGTTATGATGGTCATCTGGACTACCCCACTTGCAGAAGAAGGGGTTACTAAAAGGATAACAGTAGCCAGGCACCCATGGCTCACACCTGTTATCCAACCTACTCAAGAGGCTGAGAGCTTAAGATTGTGGTTCAAAGCCAGCCCAAGCAGGAAAATCTGTGAGATTCATATCTTCAAGTAACCACCAAATTCTGAAGTGGAGCTGTGACTCAAGTGGTTGAGCACCAGCCTTGAGCAGAAAACTTCAGAGACAGTGCCCAGGCCCTGAGTTCAAGCCCCAGAATTGGCACCAAAAACAAAAAAAAATCCTATTGTGACTCTAATTAAAACAGGCACCTTTATACAGCAATTGTTATTATCCATTTGGGTCTCAAGTTTTTATTGTTCAGCTCATTTCTGTTCATAAAAATGAATTTGTACTGCTCTGTGGAGATGAATTTGGAATCTGAGACCACCACTGTCACATTTGAACAAGGACTGCCTTCAAGCCTTATAAACCAAGATGCTACGTGTCCTATTCATAACACAACCGTGGCAAGAAATCACACGTAGATACTTCACTGATTGCCTTTGCCTGTCATCTCCTCTCTCTCTCCATGCTTTCTCCGTAGTTTCTGAGGTTCTTGAGACTATGTTCTACAATAAATGGAAGAGCTCTGGTTTCCATCTTCAAAATTATGTATCACTTTACCCACACTTAAAATCTGGACTGTGTCACAAGACTGTACTACTTTTGTTTGGATTAAAAACAATGTGTTTCACCATGATGAAATGCCTGGTAATTGACTGTCAATTCCCGGTATGACTACGTCCTGACAGGAAAGATCTAGGTATAGTAATGGCAGCCTGATGGCCAAATCACCAGCCCATCTCAGCTCATCCTCCTCCATGGCCAGAAAACAAACCAAAATCTGAATTAGGGCATTTGACTTCAGTGATGAATGAGCGCCTGCCCAGTGGGAGGTGAGCATGATGATGAATTCTCTGAAACACATAGCACATGAGAAATGATTTGAGGTCTCCATGGCCTTGCAGTAGATAAGATCAAAAACGAGCCAGTCTACTCTTCTTAGGTAGCCAAGACTAGAAGGAACACTCAAGACAGGCCCACCTGCCCAGAATTAATTAATTTGGTTGGAATCAATTTGCTTGGAAAAATATTCTACTTCTAGCACTGAAAGTCAATGAAACACTCATTAAGTCACATTTCTATATTTTAAAATGTGTAATACGTCAAGCTCAGTGAGAAAGAAATTCATTAAATTTCACTGAAAGGACTGAAATTCTGAGAAAATCAGTAAAGGAAATTAAACTATATTTAGAATGGGTTGTAAGTTCCTTATTGTTTACCATTTGGATCTTATAATTAGAAATTACTCTTATATAGCCATTCAAGCCATCTCTGTAAAGAGCTCCTTGTGGACACTTTTACCAGTTCAGATCAGCAGCAGGACATTAATTTTCTGGATTATATCAGGGTATTAAGTAAACTGACTATTGAACGAAGTTATACTTCTTTAAATTTCCTTTCTGAATTTCTCTTAGATTCAAATATTCTTTTAGGGCTTAGTTAGCCACTAAAAGCCAATAGTTTTGTCACACTCAGAATCCTATGATGACTCCACTTTTATAATATGTTTATCATATGTATACTTGCACATTAAAGGTGTATAAAGGCATAAATACTGTACATGCCATGGGGCAATCAATGATGTTATATATATACATACACCGTGTACAGTTTAAAATGGGCATACACATCCATCTAGGAAGTGACTAGGTGAAACTCAGATCCTGGTTATGAAAACAGGGGTGAGCTAGATAGCATGTCAACTCTGAGGCAAGATAAGAGGCAGGACAGAAAGTGTGGGTAGAAGACTGGAAAAGAGGACTTCTCTGAGAGAAGAATTCTGTACATAGAAGAAGAAAAAGATGAATGATCACAAAAGCTCAGGAAATAATAAATCCTGCTAGAAACGCATAAATGAAAGCTAAGAAAGAACCAAAGATGTCCAGGTCACTAAACCAACAAATTTGTAAATTAAATCAATGAGACAAACACAACATATTTGAAACAAGAAAAAAATAATGTGACAGGATAATTTTTTCAACAGCTGACTGAACTTCCTCCAAAATAGACCACATTTAATTTAAAGACCACAATTTCATTTAATTTAGGCCACAAAAGACCTTTTATCAAATATAGAAACGTTATATAATAATGTTTATATCGTATCAGATCATAATGGAATAAAAATGAAATATGTGGCAAAAGGAATGTGTACAGAAATTGTACACATTTGTATAGAAAAAAGTCTGTACAAAATTGTACGGACATATGACAGTTGAACAACATATTTCTGAACCATCAACAGGGAAATTTTTAAATGCTTTGAATAAGCCGGCACTATCCCAGATACTTGAGAAGCATGCTGAGCAAAAAGCTTGGCATGGTGGTCTATGCTCTTAATCCTAGTTAGATGGGAAACAGATAGGACAATCATTGTCCAAATTCAGCCCAGCCCCCCCAAATTCAAGTCTATATGGAAGATAAAGCAAAAATGGTTAAGTGGAAGAGTACATGCTTAGCAAGCATAAGGCCCCAAGATCAAGTTCCAATATGGACAAAAGGAAAAAAATAAATCCTAAAAAGCAAGTAAAATTAAAAATACAACTTATAGGACCTGTGGGTTAACAACAATGTTCAAACTGAAAAGGACACTTATAGCAATGCATGCTGACATATATATTTTTAATAAGTTTTTATTATGAAAACACAGAGAGAGGGGTTACAGTTACATGAGCAAGGTACTGAGTACATTTCTTTTTTTCCTTTTTTTTTAATTGTAAAAATACCGTACAGAGGGGTTACAATTACTGGGCAAGGTACTGAGTACATTTCTTATCAAGCATTGTTGGCCTCCTCCTTTGTTAATACATTTTTAAATCAGTGAATTCTCAAGTTAGTAACCTGATGATATGCCAAAATGTCTTGGAATAGCAAGAATGAGTCAATCCAGGGAGTTATAGAAGAAATAATAAAGCTCAGAGTCAAAAGTAATGAAATGGAAACCAACAGAACATTCTAAAAGATGATGAACCTTGAGAAACATTACATAGCATGATAGAAATCAGTCACAAAAAGCCATGGATTCTAGCCCTCTCCTTTACTGGGTGTGTCAGCAACATACATAAAGATAAAAAGTAGATCTGTGATGTTTCGTCCTGGTGTGGAGGACAGAAGAGGAAGGACTGACAGCTGAAACGTAGGTGACCTTCTTTTGAGATGCTAATGATCTAAGCTTATTGTGGTGATGATTGTAAGGCTTCATGATTATGCTAAATACATTGAATTGTACACTTTTAAATTGGTGAATTGTGTGCTATGGGAATTGTATCTCAATAAAGCATTGCCAAAAAATGGTCAATATCTAAAGCTCACAAGAAAATTTGAAAATTTTTAATTATAAAAATATCTTTAAAAACTTAGTTTCAGAAGCTTAGTATTAGAAGGAATGAGCCTGGGATTGAATAAAAAATTAAGAACTTAGAAAACATGCTTGCTATCTATTCGCTCTTCTAAGATGCAAAGGAAGACAGGAAAGATGAAAGACATAAGGTTAGAAATTCCAGAAAACCCTTCCTTGTTGCGGGTGTTGTACATAGTAAACCATCCTTATTAAAAAGACTACCTGAGAGTGTTGGTGTGCATTCACCGTGTTGGGATTAAGAAAAAGAGAGAAGGCAAAACCAGTAGAGAAGAGAATCAGAGATCCAGAAGATGAACACAATCCACCTAGAACACACTTAACAGGACGTGGTCCTAAAGATCTACCTGTCCTAAAGATGTACCTTAATAAAGAAGAGTCAGAAGATAGTGAAATGTGAGAGAAGGGGAAAAAAGGCTACAATGGTTGAATTGAAAGAATAGTCCACAAATATATCAACCTGCCTTTTCTTCTTGTTGATCCCCTTGAAGGTCCAAGAGCCATAATTGTTCGGTTAGAGGTGGGTAGTTAGCAAGAAGAGCTCTCTGTGTAACAGTCATTCGCCCCTGCCTTCACTCCACCCTTGATTTCATACAGAGCCAGTGTTAGAGGAGGAGAAGTTGTCATTTGAATCAAGCTCTGCTTTCTGCTCACTGTATTGAATGTGACCATAAATCAACCACAGAGCCTAACAAGTGGCATAGAATTTATATGGTATTGACCAACTTATGTGTCAGTACTTTTTAATAAAACATTTCCTACGTGAAGGCTGAATAAGAATAAGGATGGGAAAGTTTGAGCCATGTAGTCTAGGTTTCCTCCTCTGTCTATAAAATATAATAAACTGTGCCATTGTATTACACGGGGCAAATATCTAGTTTCTAGAACAGCCATGCTGATCCCATGCTGGGATCTGGAGGAGTGCTAGTTGGTGCAGCCTACTTGAATACATGTACTTCCCACCAGCTTTTTAAAATGATGAATGGTTATAATATTTGAACAAACACTTCAGCCCAACTAGTGTTGAAGCACCTAAATTCATCAGTACTAACAGTCTGCCTGCTTTGCTTTATCAGTCTACTTACATAAACTCATCTACATTTTCTTCAAAGTCAGTCTAAGTTGCTGATGCTGTACCATTCATCATGTCACATTCCACCTTCTCAAATGCATATTTTAAAGCCATATTTTTAAAGCCATTTATAAAGTCCAGATCTCTTGCTGTTAGTAGATAAAAGTGTTTGAAACCAAATATATGGAAAGGAGCATTGCCCTACAGGGATATTTAAGAATTGCAAAGCCAAAAAAATAAAAAGTAAGGCCAATATTTAAGACACAAAGAAAGCCCAGAGGAATTGTCCCAGCATTTAGAGGGTGATTTTTCTCTTCAAACAATGGCTTATTCGAAAGTAGTAGCAAAACAAACTAAGAATTACGAGCATATCTGTCCGCAGACCCTGGGGTTCAGAAAGCAATACACTGGTTTTAAGAGTCTGTCAAAGTACAAAAAATGAAGGGACTTAAATCCAGACTCTGTGAGCCTGAGACAGAGATCCGCCTGCTGCTAAGAAACCAAACTCCAGCTCCAAATCCTGTGAGTCAAAATTGAATGAGGGCAATGTAAAAACTGCTAGTGCTTCTAGCCTAGTGCCA